AAAAAAAGGAATCAAGATATATCACGTACAAATACAAATCCCCTGTAATGCATGTGATCATTATGCAGGTCTAAATTGTATCAGTAAAGTTAATTATAAAAATTTTAAAACTAAAGAGTATGCTGTTCTAAAAAATTTGTTTCCACAAAGGTGATAATAACTGTAAATTTTGTTGTCTTTAATAGCTTTTGATTTTATTAAATATTAATGTATGCCCACATGATAAAAAATAATGTTTTGAAGGTATTTAAAGTTGATATGTGGCATTATATAAATTCTTCTTCAGCATGTCTTTTTGTGGCCCTGTTAAGCAGAATGATTATATATTAAATATGACTGTACCCTTTACTTCTGGAGCACACCAAAACAAACTTCCCACTTGAAGGCCTACTTCACGGGAACCCTAAGCCAGCCCTTCCTTTGTATGTTGTCATGAACAGGGGAATTGGCACTGGTCATACGGGTGATGTAAGGGCTTAAGGGCTAGCCATTGGGTTAGGGTTGCTGGTGCAGCACTAGGCAGTGCTTATCCCAATCATACATAATATGCCTGCCTTGGTCTAGCCTCTCCAGGGTCGTAAAATGACCTAACATAACCTGGTCATAACAATCTCCTCAGAGATCACTCTAGAGAGTGTTTTACTATGTGAATGAAAATGACACTTTGGAAACTTTTAAATAGCTTTATTAAGCATGGGAATAAATCATATGTCAATAGTTCTACTTTTCTAAGTGTGACAGAATCACTAGAGGCTTAGAGAAGTGAGCTCATTACTATTAACTGCTACATATACATAGCTCAGTAACAAGATCCCAAGAGTCCACTTGACACTTGAGAAAAAAACAAGTACATTGAAAAGCTCCCTATCTACATGTTTTGCTTGAAACAGTAAACACACTCATTATCCTGGTCTATGCAGATTGCCCCAGTGCATTCAGAAAGACTGCATGAGCAAATGTAGTTGTTGTTTAATTCCTCATAAGCATTGACCACAGTCAATCACATTGTAGCTACATAGACACTCCTGGTGCCCTGTGCAGACCTTAACAACCATAAGGACAAATGAGGCAATTGTCCAGGGAGTTAGGAGACAAACTATTTCTATTTCACACAAAAGAATGGAAAAAGTGGAAATAATATCAAAATAGTGGACATATTTTTGTTGATTTTGATTCATGAATTTAATTTATACGAAAAATTACTAGACTTTTAAAATATTTTTCTTCTGTCTTTTAAATCTAAAATATGCACTTTTGGGGGCTGTGGAGATAGCTCAGTGGTATAAGCAGGAGCTTTAATCCACTGAGTTATCTGGCCAGCCCTTAGGATTGAATTTTAAAGGAGTACTCCATGTTATGTCTTTTGTGGTGGTCTTAGAAAGTAATGTACTCCAAATTACACCATATACTAGCATATAAAGCATGCTTAAATAAATACAAAGAAATTGAAATTACCTTTTCCATATTATGTGATCATAGTGCAATGAAACTGGAAATTATTGACAAAAGAAACAACAAAAACTTCACAAACAAATGGAAACTAAATAACACCCACCCAGGAGAGCTGGAGAGATAGCTCAATAGAAAAAGTGCTTGCCTGGCAAGCACAAGGGCTTGAGTTCAATCCCCAGTTCAAAAAAAAAAAAAACCTGAACAATAAATGGGCCACAGATGAAAGAAGAAATTAAAAAATATTTACAATCGAATGAAAATGCAAATACAACTTACAAGAACCTGTGCAATGCAATGAAAGCTGTATTCAAGAGGGACATTTATAGCAGTAAATTCACTTATCAGGAAATAGAACAAGGCCAGATAAAAAATTCTTATGCAGAACCTCAAGCTCCTAAAAAAAAAAAGAGCAAGTCAAACCCAAAGCCCAAAGAAGGCAGGAAATTATAAAGATCAGGGCAGAAATAAGGGTGATGGAGATGTGTGGAAGACCACCCAGGCGACTCTCATTGAAAGAGCAGTTGTTTCCATTTTGGCTATGCCTGACCTTATTTCCATGTATTGGTAGTACAGAGCTGGTTAGGATTTTTCTTTATCCCTTCAATTGGCTTTAAGCAATGCATATTGGTCTAGTTGATGAACCAGCAGTAGTCTTTGAAGATGGCATGCATATTTCCCTGACAACCTACACCTGTTGCTCTTTAATATGAGTTAGGTCAAGACAGAACAAAGAGCCAATGCTTCACACTGTCTTTGGGATGGAGCCTCATGATAGAGGCTATGACTTCCTGGGGCTTGAAAGATTATACATCTGAGCTGAAGCACCGGACCCCAAAACATTAGATACTATCTCAATAGCATAATGCAGATTACTCTCTGCACAGCCTTCCCTCTGCATACTGCAGAAGTAAATGCAGGCCTCCTACCTAGCCCAACTCAGTGTTCATCTACTTCATGTAATTCTCAGTCATTTGTCTTCAAGCCACTCCTCCCTCATGACTGAATAAAACCTGGGTTTTGGTGTGGCCAGATAGCTCAGCAGATTAAAGCACCTGCTTAGGCAGACAGCGACCAGGGTTTGATCCCCAGTGTGCAGTGTTGGCCTTGCCCCCAGGGTGCACTAAGACAGCAAATGAGACTGGGTGTGGTGGCACCCACCTGTAATCCTAGCACTTGGGAGGCTGAAAACAGGAGGATCACTATGAGTCCTATCTGTGTAGTGAGACCCAGTAGACCCTGTACTAAATATATTTAAAAACCCTGGGTTCGGCCCTAGATCAAGGCCTTTGTTCAGGTAACCATCACCATGGTCAAAATAAAGACCCCTTAGCTCCCCATAACTATAAATATGTCCTAGTGTTCTTTACTCTTGCTGTGGGTTGCACTGGAATTGGTAGATTGGAATTAACTTGAAGAGATTCCAGTAACTTACCCATGGAATTACAAATATAAGCTTCCTGGACCGATATGAGGACCAAAAAGGGCTCCCTACAGAGATTTAAAACAAATACAAAGAATTAATGAATCAAATAATTGGTTCTTTAAAAGAATAAATAAAAGAGATTTTTAAAAATACAAAGAATTAATGAATCAAATAATTGGTTCTTTGAAAGAATAAATAAAATTGATAAACCCCAGGTCAGCAAGATAGCTCAGTAGATTAAGCACCTGCTAAGGCAAGCACAGGAACAGGGGTTTGATCCCCAAAACATGCCATGCTGGCCCCACCCATGGGCACACTGAGCTGGCCACCAAGTCTGGGCATGGTGGTGCAAGCCTGTAATCCCAGCACTGAGGAGGCTCAAAACAGGAGGATCACTATAAGTCCAAGATAGATAAGGAGATTCTGTACCAAATACAAAAAAAATTGATAAAGTCCTAGCCAATCTTATCATGCAAAGGAAAGAAAAACTTCAAAGTCATGCAATAAGGAATGAAAGGGGAAAAATCACTACAGATCCTATAGAAATTCAGATGATCAATACCTATTTCCAAAATCTTTATTCTCACAGAATGGAAAACAGAAAAAATGGACAGATTCCTAAACACATATGAACTACCAAAGCTGGATCAAGAAGATATAAAAATTCTGAATAAAAAAAAATTCTGATTAACCCAATATTAGTGAATGAAATTGAAAATGTAATCAAAAACCTACCAACAAAGAAAAGCCCAGGTCTTGATGGATTCACATCTAAATTCTATAAGAAATTTAGAGAAGACTTAATAAACTCTTCTCAAACTCTTCAATGAAAATGAAAGGGAAGCAATTCTCCCAAACTCATTGAGAGGTAAGCATTATTGTGATATCAAAACCAGAGAAAGGGCCTGCTTAGGCAGATGCAGGGTCTGGAAGTTCGACCCCTGGGCCTGCCATGCCAGCCCCAGCCCCAGGGTGCGCTGAGACAGTGATTAAGACTGGGTGTGGTGGTGCATGCCTGTAATCCCAGTGCTTGGGAGGCTGTAAACAGGAGGGAGAATCACTATGATTCCGATCTCTGTAGTAAGACCCTGTGAGAGAGCCAACCAAAGACATAGAACTACAGGCCAATCTCTCTAATGAATATAGAAATGTGAAAATCCTCAATAAAACACTAGTAAACGCAGTGCAGCAAATCATCAAGGAAATTATACTTCATGATTAAGCAGAATTCATCACAGAAGTGCAGGGGTAGCTCAATATATGCAAATCCATAAATGTAATAGATCACATTAACAGAGACAGAGACAAAGACAAAAGCCACATCATCATCTCAATAGATGCAGAAATAGTTTTTTACAAAATTCAATACTCGGGGCTGGTGAGATGGCTCAGTGGTCTAAAGCACCTACTTAGAACAAGCTTAGCAAAGCACAGGGACCGCGGTTCAATCCCCCAGCACCACATGCCAGCTAGCCCCGCCCCCTGGTGGGCTGAGCTGGCCACACACACACACACACACACACACACACATTTTTTAAAAGTTATATGAAATTAAAGAAAGAAAAGAAAAATATAAGAATAAAAAGAAAAAACTTTTTAAAAAAACAAAATTCAATACTCATTCATGATTTTAAAAAAACAAACCTGCAGAAAATCAGACTAGATGGTGTATATCTCAACCTGATAAAAGCCACCTATGAGAAACCCACAACTTACATCATACTAAATGGCCAAAAACTGAAAGTCTTCACTTTATGATCAGGAACAAGACAATCATGTCCATTCTCACAACTCCTATTCAATATAGTTCTGGAAACACGAGCCAGAACAATTAAACAAGAGAGAGAAACAAAGGAATAATGATTGGAAAGGAAGAAGTGAAACTATCATTATTTACAGATGACATGATACACTACATGAGAACCCCAAAAATTCCATCAAGAAACTGGTACATTTAATAACCAAATCCAGTAGCATAGCAGGATACAAACACAAAATTCAATAGCAAGGTCATGTGATCAGGCCCAACATGGCTGTCCCCACTGCTGGGAGCTGAGGTTCTGCCACCATTGCCAGGCAGATGGAGGAATCCACTCCTATCCTCTCCCTCACTGGTTGGGCCACCATGGGGCACTGGAGGCTGAGGCTTGGTTGGCACCATGCTGCAGCCATAGGGTCCCATTAGAGCAGCCCCCATGGTTATGCCAAGGTCCCAGATGAGCAGGGAGGCCATCAAGAGAGAGGACATAGACCTTCCTGTGAGTGTGAGACAACTGGCAGATCTGACTGAATACTCAAATTGGGAAAGTGAAACGGAGGAAGCAAGATGAAGGGCAGAGAGAAGGCTCCTGCATAGCTGAGGAGAATGCCATGGACATCAAGCATGAGAACAGCAACTGCTTTGAGGAGTATAAGTGGTGTGGGCAGAAGTAGATACAGGCCACCACTGTCCTGGAAGGTGGCTTCCTAGGCTCTGATGTTGTCATGTGCAGTAGCAAGGAGAACCCAGACAGTGATGCTGACCTGGATGTGAATGGAGAGGACACTCTGTAGTACCAGAAGTCACAATACACAGATGCTGACATCCCCTGCATGTATGAGAAACCTAGCCCGATGAAGCCAAGGAAAGAGAAGCACTCCAGGGTGCAGTCCTAAAGCAAGTGTGGGCCAGTGTGACCATCCCACCACCTGTAACATGCCTGAGTTTTCCAAGTGGGCTAGTGACAGGATGCCATCCACTAGTAATGGCAAAAGCAGCAAACAGGAGGCCATGCAAGAGACCTGTAAGGACAGGAACATTGAGAAAATCATCAAAGATTCCACTGTGACCACACTCAAGGTCCTGAAGGCTCAGATCAGGGAGCTTGAATGGCAGCTATCTCAGGGGGACCAGTACAAATGCCTCATCTTCAGGGACTCGTACTCCATGCCAATCTGCCTGGAACTTTTCTTTAGGAAGAGATTAAATGATTTTTCATTTAAGTTTTTTTTCTATTCTTCAGAGAGAGTTTAGTGCTGACTTCCATAAAACTCATTATCTTTATTTATTAGGGTTTTTTTGTGGCTGGGCTGGTGCAGCATGTGGTAAAGCTCATTATCTTTAAGTGTTTTTTTTTTTTTTCTATAACACTGCTGATTTTCCTACTCTGATCTTAATACGAGTCAAAGTTAACTAGCAAGTATAGATTCCTGCTTTCTTTAAACTTTTGTCCCATTCCTTTTATCTTATTTTGTAACTCCCATGACAGTATTTTCATGTAGTACATCATCACACCTTTGCCATTCTTCCTTCCAAAACACTTCTGGTCCTGATTTTCAGGCAGCTTCCCAGCTAGGATCTGTCTATTTCACAAGTACCTGGAAGAGTCCTGATGCTGAATGTAGCAGGTTGTATTGGTCAGGGTTTTACTTAGAGGAGCAGATATAATATAAGGAATAGATATTAACACAAGATATACAATGTACAAGGAATTACAAAATTGGCTTATGACAGTCAGCCTCAGAGTCAGATGAGGAAGTGTGCAGAGGGCGTCTGCACACCCCAGACTGAACAATTCAGTCCCAAGGTCTGAAGCTCACTGCAGTGCTCTGTGCAAGTCTCTATCCATCAGCTAATGGGTCTGCAACAGAAGACTGAAGAGTCTGCAATGGATGCTGCAGAGTCTGCAATAGAAGGTGAAGGATCCAAGCCAGAGGCCAAAGAGTCTGCTCTGTAGGCCAGGCAATGGAGTCTAAGCTGAATGCAAAGACTGAAGTGCCTCCAAAGAAGTGGAACATTGACTCCTTCCTCAGCCCCTTTATATGGTCTCTTTCTGCTGAGTCACTCTGGGTGGGCCCATTGTGCCCTAGGATGGAACCAGTCACACACCAGGATGGGCCCTGGTCCCACTCTAGGGAGGAACCAATCCACATCCCAAGGTGGGCCCATTGCACCCTAGGGTGGAACCAATTGTGCCCCAGGACAGATCCCCACTGGCCAGGAAATGCATGCAGAGTTATCCACCAAGTTGAAACAATGTATCAACCACTACACAGGTGTAACAGAAAAGTAGGAAGTTCAGGAAGTAGAAAATACCTTGTGTAAGAAAATCAGTCATGGGGCCAAGGAGATGGCTCAGTAGAACAAGCACTTCCCTGGCAAGTGCAAGGGCCTGAGTTCAATCCCTGGTTCCAACAAAAAAAGAAGAAAAGAAAAGAAAAAAAAGAAAAGAAAAGAAAAGAAAAGGAAAGAAAGAAAAAAGAAAGAAAGAAAGAAAGAAAGAAAGAAAGAAAGAAAGAAAGAAAGAAAGAAAGAAAGAGAAAATCAGTCACATTTTAGAAATCAGGAGCATTAGAAAGTTGTGGACCTAAAGCAAAAAAAAAGATGACAATAGAAACCTCTCAGTATTACAAACAGTCTGAGCATTAATTCATCAGTGCAGTTGCCACATCACTCCATGGTCTCTAAAATATGGAGCTTTAGCCCTTCTGAGTTTCAGTTTGTTTTACAGGAGGTGGACATCACTTTTCCTGAGAACTCTGCTTGGTATGAGAGGTATCAATTTGACATTTTGTCTTTCATTTGAGTGGCCGCTTTCTCATGAGGCATAAAGTAAACATCTCAAAACTTGGAAAACAGCTCCCAAAACGTAAGCAGCATGGTGATGAATGTTGGTTCACGCCCGCGTGGCTGTCCATCTTCTCTGTCTACAAGGCACCTTCCTGAGAAAATGACCCTGGCCTCCTACTCTTTTTGTCAGTTTCACAGAGCCCTCAAAGGTTCCCAATTTAAGGGTGTCATGTAAATGTCACCATTCCTCTTTTTTTTTTTTTCTTTTTTTTCCATTATTGGGGATTGAACTCAGGACCCTGCACTTACCAGGCAAGCTCTTATTCTACTGAGCTATCTCCCCGGGCCAGACCATTCCTCTTCTGATTAATGGAAGTATTGTGTAGGAATTGTTTATTTATGGGCCTTTTATAAAATAAGATTGTCTTGCAAGAGAGAAGGATGACAGAGGGAGGGAGAAATCCATTTGTTTCATTATTTTTCTCTTTTATCTTAATATGAAAGCACTTCTCATGAACTAGACAGTGCTGCTTGTAGGAAGAAGACTGAATTCCTGTTGCTTCTGTGGAGGGCTGAGCTTTTTAATGAAACACGAAGTGCTCTTCCACTCAGTAGATAAAGTGAATCATTAATAATGGTGCATAGTCAATAAAGGGATGTTTTAACAAATAAAAAATAAGATAAACTGAGTCCAGCTGGATAATTCTAAATACATACATTTTTTTTCTCCAAAGAAAAAATGCAATAGCATTTTTGTATACAAACAACAAACACACTGACAGAGAAATTAGGAAAACAATGTCTTTCACAATAACATCCAAAGCAATGAAATATTTAGGAATCAACCTCATGAAGGAAATAAAAGATTTATACAGTGAAAATTACAGTACTCTGAGAAAACATATTGAAGAGGATTTCAGAAAATAGAAATATATTCCTTGCTCATGGATAGGAAGAACCAACATTCTGAAAATGGCCATACTCCCAAAGTTGTTATACAGATTCAATGCAATCCCAATTAAAATACCATTAGGATACCTCACAGAGCTAGAGAAAATATTCCTAAAATTCATCTAGAACTAGAAGAGACCTAGAACAGCAAAAGCAATCCTGCGCAACAGAGGAAAGGTAGGAGGCATCACAATCCCTGAGCTGAAATTATACTACAAAGCTACTGCAATAAAATCAACATGGTATTGGCAAAAAAAAAAAAAAAACAGACCTCAGGATCAGTGCAACAGATTAGAAGATGCAGAAACTACAAACATACTCAGCCACCTTATCTTTGACAAAGGGCCAAACAGGCTCACTGAGAGAAACATAGCCTCTTTAATAAGTAATGCTTGAGGGGCCGGGGAGATGGCGCAGTGGAATAAGTGCTTCTCTGGCAAGCGCAAGGGCCTGAGTTCAATTGCTGGTTCCACAAAAAAAAATTAAAAAATAAAATTAAAATAAGTAATGCTTGAGAAACTGGCTGTTCACATGCCAAAGGCTAAAACTAGACCCATGTCTTTCACCATGCACTAAACTACACTCAAAATAGATCAAAGAGGGCTAGCAAGATAGCTCACTGGACTAAGCACCTACTTAAGCAAGTGCAGGGACCAGGGTTCGATCCCTGATACCACATGCCATGCTGGCCCCACCCTTAGGCACACTGAGCCAGACACAGTGACTGGGCATGGTGGCACACACCTGTCATCCCAGCCATGGGCAGGCTAAACAGAGGAGGATCACTATGAGTCCAAGCTGCATTGTGAGACCCTGTACAAAGTACATTAAAAAAAAAAAAAAAGGATTGAAGATGTAAATATCAAAACAGAAACACTGAATCTTCTGGAGGAAAAAGTAGGTAGAAATCTTAAAAACAGAGGGGTAAGTAGAGAGCTCCTAAACAAAAACCAAGCTGCACAGGAGGTACTTCAGAGAATTAACAACTAGGATCTTATCTTTTTGAAAAGTTTCTGCATGCAAAAAAAAATCACCAACAGAGTAAAAAGAAAACCCACAAATTAGGAGAAAAATTATAGCACACCGTCCCTCAGACAAAGGACTTCTATCTAGAACATTAAAGACTTTCTTAAAAAATCAGGCCCCAAAATTCAAAGATCCAATCCAAAAATGAGCATCTGCAATGAATATACACTTCTCAGAGGAAGACATACAAATGGCAAATAAATATATGAAAAAAAAATGTTGAATTTCATTGATCATTTGAGAAATGCAAATTGAAACAACACTGAGATTCCATCTCACCCTAGAAAGAAGGGCTACCATGAAGAAATCACCCAATAACAAATGCTTGAGGGAAAAAAAGAACTCTTCCCCACTGTTGATGGGAGTGCGGGCTGGTACAGCCACTATGGAAATCTGTTAAGTGATTTCTCAAAAAGCTAGGACGGCTGGGGGCGGGCGCACAGCACTCCTCTTCCCGGTTGCCCCGCCACCACCGGAGTCGCTGGGATGCCCTCGTCAGCCAGAGTCAGTCGGGAGGCGTCCGCTCCGCCGGCCTCCTTCCTATTGGCCGCAGGTCGCCGGCAGGAGCTCCCCGGCCCACCCAGAGGACGTGAAGCTGGAGTTCCCCTCGCTCCCACAGTGCAAGGCCCACGCGGAGGAAATTTTACCTGGATTATTCTTAGGCCCATATTCTTCTGCTATGAAAACCAAGCTACCTATACTACAGAAACATGGAGTAACTCATATAACTTGCATACGACAAAATATTGAAGCAAACTTTATTAAACCGAATTTTCAACAGTTATTTAGGTATTTAGTCTTGGATATTGCAGATAATCTAGTGGAAAATATAATACTTTTTTCCTGATGACTGAGGAAGCTTATTGATGGGAGCTTACAAACTGGAGGAAAAGATCTTGTTTGTGGAAAGGCAGGGGTCCCAGAAGTGCTGCCTTTGGTATTGTACACATTATGGAAACACTTGGGACGAAGTACAGAGATGCATTTGCATGTGTGCAAGAAAGAGGATTTTGTATTAATCTTAATGCCGGATTCGTCCATCAACTTCAGGAATACGAAGCCATCTACCGAGCAAAGTTAACAGTACAGATGACGTGGCCACTTCAAGTAGAAAGGTCCTCACCTGTGCATCCTGGTACCTCAGGCAGTTCGAAGAGAACACGTGAAGAAGATGATGACTTTGGGGACATGCAAGAGACAACTTCGCGGAACGGCTGATTCAAGAGAACATTACTGAGGGTGTGATTTTCTACTTGGAAAGAGAAAATACTAAAGATGATAATAACGTACGGTGGTAAAACACAAGTAGTTTCCTTTGTTACGTGTTACTCCCAGACATGTTTCTCTACAACTTGTTAAGCAACATTTTAAGATGTTGGACTTCTGCAGTAGATGGCACTGGTTACTTTTTTTTTTAACTTTGCAGTTTTATTATAAACTAAGAATTTTGGACTTGCAAAGAGTTATTATTGCAATAATGCACTTTT